CAACGAGGACAATGGATTCAGGTTGCTTTAGGATCATACACAACCATCACAGGCATTCGTACTCAAGGTCGTCAAGATGCCAACCAGTGGGTCAAAACATACACTGTAGCTTACAGCAACAATGGAAAGCGCTTTAAAACATACAGAGTTCGTAGACGTGTTAGGGTAAGTAACCGAATGAATATAGCAGTCATAGAATTGAGGTTATTAGAAATTGGTTGATATATTTTGGTCTTTAGTTCGTTTGCATTCGAACGTATACCTAAATGTTTGTAAACGGGTACTTTTTATAATCTTTCTAGGTGTTCCAGGCAAATAGTGATCGAAACACCGTCGTAACTCGTCGACTAAGACCAGCAATTCGAGCTCGTTACGTCAGAATCTATCCAAGAACCTGGCAGGGTCACATGTCACTGAGAATGGAAGTACTTGGAAAACGAAAACGTAAGTATTGGATGTAGTCAACAATATGCTATTCTTATTTTCGGGATTAGGCAACACAGACAAATCCCGTAAAATTCAAAAAAAGATATATGTCAAACACTAGGTTCACATTTGCACTTCGTCTGATTTTATTCAGTAATGTTAGCCTCCTTTCTAAAGAATGTAAACCCTGACAACTTAAGGTTCCTTTAACGATTTATAGAAAATTGCTGTTTAAAGTGCCACTACGAGGAAATTTTGATGTCTCCAATCTTTAGTGTTTAATAACATGTAAAAGTACTTTGGAAAGGAAGAAAACTGGCGTTTTTCTTTATTTTTCTTTTTTTGCTAGCATTTTTGGTTCGCGAGATATTCAAGTTTTAAGTTTATCATAATATGTGCTAATCAGGAGGTTGATGATATCATATTATGTGATGATTGTCATACAAACTTTGCAGTATACTTGTCATGAAACATGAAACATAAAATACACAAACTGTGGTTGCTATTACAACACACTGGTGTCCAGGCCTCTAACAACAATTTCACCTTTTCAGCGACTGCTTCGTTATTTTTTAAATTCAGCAGAAAATTGTTTGGCTGAATTTGTGTCTACGACCGTAACAGATGTTTTAACCTAGCCTTGTTCGATACCCATCTCTCGTTAAGGTAGACGTTTCAAAAACCTGAATTTTAAGGAGGTTTGATCTGAAACCGAGGCTGTTTCTATGGCAACAATTTTGAAGAACAGATAGAGAAATGTAATACTAGTAAATTTGTTTGAAAAAGGAAATTGACATTTTAGTTCACTATGAAAGGTTTTTCAATCCAGCCAAAAAATGAGCAAGTCAGAAATTTGATCGTAGTGGCACTTTAAGGTGCAGATAATTTAATAACCCACTTCAATTTACACAGAGAGACCAATAAAACCTCCAAGACGAGCAAAAGCACTCGGAATGCAGAGCGGTCGTATCCGTAACAACCAGATCCGTGCATYCTCAAACTGGGACCGTAACCACGGTGCCTTCTTGGSCAGACTAAACAGACGTGCACGAGGAAGATATCAAGGTGGTTGGTCAGCAAGACACAATAACCGTAACCAGTACATACAGGTAAAAGAGAATGCATTTAAATGATCACCAATATTCATGATGAATATATTCAAAGTACCTCTTAATTGACTTCGGCATTAAGAAATATATTAAGCTTTTCGTTTTAGATTGTTTAATCTAAAAAATACGGGATGGTAAGGGAACAAAACCACATGACAAAGGTTTAAATAAAATAATGAGGACAAATTAATTTATTATTTTGTTTGACGGATAAAAATATCTGAGTGAAAAGTAAACGTTTTCAGATACTCACATTGAGAGCGTTTTTTGAACAATCATATGCGCGCATTTAACCTCAGTTTTTCATTTAATATTTTTTAAATAATTGTTATATGATATTTTTTTCAAGGTGACTTTCCGTCGTCCTAAAAAAGTTACAGCTGTTGCAACACAAGGTCGCCAGAACGCCAACCAGTGGGTTACAAGTTATTACATAAGCTTCAGTTTGGACAAAGTTCACTTCACACCATTTGTATCACAAGGTCGAGTTAAGGTAAAAACTGAAATTCATTTCGTAGGTATCAAGGTGTCAAGGTTAAATAACATTTTTTATTTTTTTGTCAATAATTGCGTATGATAGTAAAATACAGCTCTTTCAAAAAAGGTCGGAAAGGAGAACGGCGATAGGTAAAAAGCGAGCACTAGCACCTACTGGTAGGCAAATGAGGCCGAAAACTAAGATTTTCTCGCTCAAATAGGCGACTACCGAACTGTGGCCATGTGCTTCTCATCTTGATATCACACCTGAAAAAGCGTGCTCAAAATTCGCGCTTACTCTTTTAATGGCTTTTAAATGGTGAAAATATATATGTATAGATAGCGTTATGTCATGGGAATCATGGGTGCGGTGAAATGCTAATGCGCATCCTCTGTGCAACCACTAGTACGACCCGGTTTAGAGTCCTGTGATATGTTGAGTTCACATATTTGATGGTTGTCTCCTGTGCTTCGAGGGTTTTTCCTCCGAGTTCTCCGTTTCTTAATCCCTCCAAAAAATCAACTTCTAAATTGTAATTCGATCGATCGGCTGCCTTACCAATTGGGTTGGAAAACCTGTTAGGCACTTAGCCAGGAATGGTGAATGCTTTATATCTAGATTTTGGTCACACAATTCCTAACCTCATTTTTCACGAAACTGTCGTCATTGTCAAACCTCGTGTTGGTTTATTGGTTCCACAGACTCAAATGCTGCATTGGTAACTGAAACTTCTTTTTTTCAATAGATATTCAGCGCAAATCGCAATCGTAACACAGTGGTACGTCGACAAATCCGACCCGCTATCAGAGCATTGAGTGTTCGTATCCATCCCGTCAGCTGGAAGTCACATATTTCCATGAGACTGGAACTTTATGGAAGAAATGCAGGTTAGTGGTTTCATTCAGTCTTCGAAGGTAACTGTCATCTAGACTTGGTCCATGAAACTTCCATGAACTTATTTTAATATGCAAATATTATTTTCAGCTAAGAATCGTTTGTCTCTTGGCGTCGAAGACCGTCGTATTCCAGAACGCGCTTTCAGTTCATCTTCAAACTGGGACAACAACCACAGAGCATCAAACGCAAGACTCAACACCGTTCGACGAGGACGTAGAACAGGAGCGTGGTCTGCTAGACACAACCGACGTGGACAGTGGCTTCAAGTTGATATTGGAAGTCTTGCCCGAGTTACCGGTATTGCTACCCAAGGACGACAAGACGCAAATCAATGGGTCACAAGCTTTTACGTGACGTATAGTACAAATGGCAGACGATTTATACCCTACAGGCATGGAAGACGAACAGTGGTTAGTAAAGACTCCTTTGAATTTTGTTTTATTATTTAACTTCCTTGTCTCATTTTTCGCTTGTAAAATTTTTGCGCTGTTTAAATTTTTGCTTTTACGATTTTTTTTTTTAAAAGGTTTGGTTTTTATACTGTGATATTTCTCCTTTTAGATATTCCGAGGAAATCGTAATAGAAATTCCATAGTTTTCAACCGATTTGTTCGTCCTCTGAGAGCAAAATTTGTACGAGTTTACCCAAGAAGCTGGCATGGACACATTTCTATGAGGTTGGAACTGTATGGACGAAGATACGGTTAGTTCACTTAAATTCTCATTACAAACCCCTCGCTATAATGCACATTTTATACAATATGTCACTTGTTTTGAAGGTGAAAAGTCCTATTTTACTGCGAAAACTTTAAGTAAAATTTATTCTTTCAAAAAGGTGTCGTCGATTATCATCACGATCATGTGTTCCTAATGTACCATATATGTTGTTGTGTAACAACAAATGGGATAGTATTTGATGAAAGGATCCTTTGTCATTGGATGTAATTTACTTGTGCATAACATCATATTTTCTACATTTAATGGTAAAAATATATATTACTTTCTGCCTCCCACCTCCCTGCTTCAAGTGGCTCTTCTCAAAGGGCTTATCAAAAAACTACTCTGAAACAACAATTAGGAATGTTTTGAAAATGACTCAAATGCATTAAATTTGAGACATCGACTATTTTTTATGTACAAATATGAAAAACAAAAACATATTTCCCTGTTATTATATTTTAAGCTCGCCGTCCTCGTATATTCCCAAGTGGTATTTCAAATGGCCGTCTACCCAACAAATACATCACAGCATCCAGTCAATGGGACAAAAACCACGCCCCATGGCTTGCTCGTCTGAATCGTAAACGACGTGGACGTCTAGTTGGAGGATGGTCAGCTCGTAAAAATAATAGAAGACAATGGATTCAGTTTAACTTGAGAACGCCAAAGAGAATCTACAAGATTGTGACTCAAGGACGTAGCGATGCGAACCAGTGGGTTAAAAGCTTTACCATTCTTTACAGTCAAGATGGAAGACGATGGGTGCCCTACAAAAAGAACAGTCTCACTCAGGTAAAATTGTTAATAACAGAATAATAACTTATTTGTTTAATTGTTTAATTGTCCCACGAAGAGGCATGTTAATGCTACAAGTTTTTCAGTTGTCAAAATATAGTGTTAAAAAATAACATCACTCGACATCGACAAAGATCTTGGAGGGAACAGGATTGCGGGGGATTTCCGAGTCTATACTTTTTCCCGTTTTTTAAATAGTGTCTTATATTTTACGATCTCGTCCCCTACCCTCCGCCTATTTTTAAGGTGCTCTGCGGTCTTTGTGAGAGGAGACACGAGCTTCCATAGGCCTTAATTCCTACATCTGATTCTCTTTATAACAGGTTTTCCGTGGAAACCGAGACAGAAATTCGCTGAAGGAAAATTACTTTAGCCAACCAATCGTAGCTCAGTATGTGCGAATCTACCCAAGAACATGGCAAGGACACATCTCTCTGAGGGCGGAGTTCTACGTCAGGCCAGCTTGTGAGTATATATAAGAAGTTCCTTCTTGCCTTGTTGTCGGTCACAATTTTCCTATTATTGTATGTATGCTTATCGATGCTAACGACCAAGTAAGCATGCATGTTTTATTAGAAAATGATAGTAATGTTTCTGAAAATATTTCTGGTAAATTTTCCATTCCTATTCAAAGCTCGTTATGTCCTACCTCTGGGTATGGAGGATGGCAAGATTCCTTCCAGAGCCATCAGAGCTTCATCACAATGGAACAGCAACCATGGTCCATCACGTGCTCGACTCAACACTGTTCGACGTGGAAGGAAGACAGGAGCATGGTCCGCTAGAAAGAATAATAGACGACAATGGATCCAAGTGGACTTTGGAAGAGCAACCATCATCAGTAAGATTCTTACCCAAGGTCGCCAAGATGCGAACCAGTGGGTCAAGTCATACACTGTATCGTACAGCAACAATGGAAGACGCTTCAGACCCTATAGAGTAGGAAGAAGAGTAAGGGTAAGTCTTATTTTATGGTCAAATATTGCCTTTGACATTTTTTGGTATATGTATACATGCGCCCAGTATAATAACACTAGGGTACAGAAAACTTTTTCTGATTTTTCTTGAGTGTTTATTGAAATTAATAATAAGATGGTGTCTTTAATTTTGTAGGTGTTCCTTGGTAATACGGATAGAAACACGGTTGTTGCTCGTTTCTTGAAGCCTTACATTACAGCGAGATTTATCAGAATCCATCCTCGTACCTGGCAATCACACATCTCTATGAGAATAGATTTTAGAGGAAGGCGAAAAGGTATGAATATTGTTAGGATACAAGGATCTTTGAGGCAGGGAACGTACCTTTAAACTTTATTGAAGGCTTCTGAATACTTGTCCTACCAGTTACGCGACTCAACTTAACTGGCTTACAACATAATTCTGATTTCTTTTAACTATCTCGAAGAGAGATGCTGTCCCAAACAAAACTCCTAAACACTTTGGCTTCTAACCATAATAATACCTAATTTCAAGTAGGCTCGACAGTTAGTGCGACAGCTATTTCCGATTTCAGGGAATTCCCATTATCGAAATCTTCTCAGCGTGTCCACACCCAACTTTTCCATTCCATGAGTAGTCCAGCTTTCACTTTACTACAAATATCAATCATTATCGAAAACTATCAAAATGTCTTATATTATCGAATATTGAAAAATGTAGAAAAGCGTGGCATAAGGATATGTCTATAGCTCCATATATTTACAAAAGAGTAAAAGCTGGCTTGTTTCTATGGTAATAGATGGGGTCGTTAACTTGTTGTGAGAAATGAACACTCTGAATAGTTTTTCATCTGTCAGTACGTTATTATCGTACATTGAAAGCTTAAACTTGAGCAACATATTAAAACTTATTTGGTGTTTATTTTTTAAACCATTTATAGGAGTAAGACGCCCAGTACCATTACGAGCTCTTGGAATGCAGAGCGGTCGTATCCGTAACAACCAGATCCGTGCATCCTCAAACTGGAACCGTTACCACGGTGCCTTCTTGGCCAGACTAAACAGACGTGCACGAGGAAGATACCAAGGTGGTTGGTCAGCAAGATACAACAACCGTAACCAGTATATACAGGTAATAAAATCTTAAATGATGTTTTATTCCCAGTATTTATCGGCTTTGGAAATCAAAAAGCATAGTTCGGGGTGTAAAGGTTTTGGGGATCATTGGAACCTTGGATGGCAGAGCTTTTCCATTTCTCCTTCGATCCTATAAAGCAGTCCCATTATCTTTTGTCGCTAGACGTCTTCCCTTGAATGTCATAAAGGGAAATTGTATGCAAGTCTATATATACATTTTCCATCCTTATTATCAAGTTATTCCACAACTTTTTCTTTTTGTATAATTTTGAAATTTTATATTTTTATTTAAGGTGAAATTCCGTCGCCCCAAAACTATTACAGCGGTTGCAACACAAGGTCGACAAAACGCCGACCAATGGGTAAAAGGCTACTACATCACTTACAGTCTGGATAACTTACATTACACTCCATATCTATCGCGTGGTCGAAGAAAGGTAACTAAGTAGCGAATCTCTCATTAAGTGATTGTCTACACACTTGCGAGTGCGTTTTAGTTAACTTATGTTTTTTCATAATGTACTAGGGGAAAATGTGCTAGGGGAAAATATCTATTCCCAAATTTTGAATAGTGCTCTGTTAAGGAAAAGTACAAAATATTACACCGTTATTGGTGACACCAAATAAACGAATACATAAAGACTTTTATTTTTTATGATTCTACGTGGCATGGGTGGCTTAGGCTGCGAAAGCGTCGTCTTTCACCGCCATGAGTCGAGTCGCTGGTTCGCCACCTGTGAATTGAGTGTGCATATTGCGTTTTTTGATGTGTTGCTCTCTCCCGCGCCACTAGAGTTTTTCTCCGGGTTCTCCGGTTTTCCTCCCTCCGTAAAAATCAACATTTGAGTCGAGCGTTGTGTGCATAAAATAGTAAATCTAGTGGTAGTGAGTGTGAGTGAATGCAGGCCCACAACAGCAAAAGCTGCCAGAACAATCAGCCTGCTCTAAATAATAAAAAAAATCATATATACATGTCCTCAAATGTCATTAATCATAATCTTTCGCTGAAAGTTTGTAATAATTATTTTGCGTAAAGGTATTCCGTGGAAACAGGAACCGCAACGGAATAGTTCGACACTTACTGAAACCAAATATCAAAGCAAGAAGCATTCGTATCCACCCAGTCAGCTGGAGAAGTCATATTTCAATGAGACTTGAACTATATGGAAAAAATGCTGGTATGTTTATCTGTATAAAGGCATTATAATTACTTTGGGGATGTCAATGGGGGGAAATGTTTTGTGGTAGCTCGCTAGCTAGCTGTTAATTACTGAGTACCGACTCTGTATTCGACTCGTACTTTCAGGAGACTTAAGTTGCAATTTATACGCGAGGTTTTATTACAACGAAGATAAAGTCAAACCGACCAAAAATGTTGTTCTCAATAGATATGAACGTTATTTATTAACTATTAATTCCTTACTAGAGCATGATGCCGGATCCATACTTAATCCACGTAGTTTCTCGCTATGGAATTTGAATGGGGTTTAAAATTGACACTTAAACATTTTTCTATGAAACGAGTAATTGAAAAAACTCTATACAGACATTTTTATCTCAAATTGTAACATCATTATCTTCTTCGCTTCTCTTTAGCTACCAGATCATTGCCTCTTGGAGTCGAAGATAGGCGTATTCCTGACTCAGCTTTAAGCGCCTCGTCCATGTGGGGCCGCAAGCATAGACCAGCAAATGCCAGACTCAACTTATATCGACGAGGACAAGCAGGAGCGTGGTGTCCTAGACCTAGCAGATATGGTCAATGGTTACAGATTGATATTGGAAGCCTGGCTCTTGTGACTGGTATTGCTACCCAGGGAAGACACGACTATAGTCAATGGGTGAAAAGATATCGACTGAGGTACAGCAAAGATGGACGAAGATTCCCATTCTACGGAGCCGGCAGAAGCATCTATGTAAGTTTATAATATAGCTTGGATAATACGTGCACTCTCATTGGGTAATTCACACACGAAGCCTATGCTCTATTTCAGCGGTAGAGATGGTTTTTGATTTACAGATCACAATACAGCAGACTTCCCAGTGCATTTCAACTCCAAAGTCTAAGTAAAATATAAAGAAACTATCCATTTTCGATGTGTTTTTTAAGCTTGATTATATATTATGTGGCAAATAAACTTATCACAAAAGCCACAAAAAAAAAAAAAAAAAAAAAAAAAAAAAAAAAAAAAAAAAAAAAAAAAAAAACGACCAAAAAGGCTAAAATACGATAATAAGCTTCCGGCTCGTGATTTTGAAACGTTTACTCGTGTTACTTCCAACATCCAGCTTCTTCTGTTTCACCGGTAGTAATAGGACCTTATCTTCTATTGCTTAAATATTTTTCGTTTTGATAAAAATCCAAATTAAAAAAAAAAGGATTGCTAAAAAATAGATGTTATTTGCTGTTCTAAATGGCATACGTTTGAATTACATTTTCAGAGCTTCCGTGGTAACAGAAATAGAAATTCGGTCGTATACCACCGTTTACGACCCTTCTCCGCTCGCTATGTACGTTTCTACCCACAATCCTGGCACAGAAGTATCGCAATGAGAGTGGAAGTGTATGGTCATCGATATAGTAAGTTGGAAACCTCGTATATTATCATATCGTAAATTTATGTATGAGCTACAATAGCAGCTTGTTTTGAAAATCACAGACTCACTTGCACAGGCTTACCCGCGATTGTAAGTAAGCTATTAAAAAATACCATCAAAATTTTGTGGAATTTCATCACAGTGGTAACGTTCAAGCTGCACATTCTTTGCATTGCAGTTGACTTTTGCAAATGATTTGCTCCTACGCGAGGCTAAGCCTGGGAGATGAGTCTATAGTCATAAAATGCAGCGGTATTCTTAAAGAACCAAACAAACCATTCTGCGTATATAAAGTGCAAAAGGCCTCTTCGGGCTTTTAGTATAATTTATATTTCAAAAGCGTATTACTAGATTTTCTGCCACAGCTTATGTATGTAATGTATAAAAAATTGCACATACCTTTTTCTTTATATATGCATTCGCTAATTCCTTCCACTGCCGTTACATAAAGTATTTATTTATTTATTTATTTTTTATTTTTTGCTCTAAAGCTCCAAATCCCCTAGAGAAATAACTTGCTTTTCGTTCTTTGTAATTTTAAGTATCAAATAACCTCATGAATATGCCTTTTTTTGCAGAAAAACCTCGTCTACCTCGCCCTTGTGGTATTTCCAACAAGCGTTTACCCAACAGATACATCACAGCTTCTAGTCAATGGGACAAAAATCACGCCCCATGGCTCGCTCGTCTAAACCTGAAGCGAAGAGGCAAGCACATGGGTGGATGGTCTGCCAGGAGAAACAGACGTGGAGAATGGATTCAGTTTGACTTGAGAAGGTTTAAAAAGATCTACAAGATTGCCACTCAAGGCCGCAGCCACGCTAACCAGTTTGTAAAGAGCTACATTGTCAAGTACAGTGTGGACGGACGACGCTGGGTGCCCTACAAAGTGAACAGTGTGGTTAAGGTATTGCATCATCTTCAAAAGTAAAAGACGCAATTTTCTTCTCAAATCGATTCGCTATTTTTCTATTTATAACCACGCCGACTGCATTCATATAGATTAATACAAAGAATCCTATCCTCAAGAGCATGACACTTGGGCTAAAATGGGGAAAACATTACAAACATTACGCCCTTATGGTCTGGCTTTGTCATCTGTTGTTGTTCTTTTTACTCTGTTGATCTTTTATAAATCTCTATTTCAAAAAAAAAGTTAATAAAAGTTTTGTTGCTTAATCGCATATTGCATACCATGCCCGAAAGGCACTTTTTCCAAACTTTTTTTGCACGTTTTCTCGGCATATTTTCTTCTTGCTGATTTTGAAATATGCCTTAAAACTGTGGGAAAAAGCCGTTGCAGAGGTGATACAGTGTGCAATGGCGTTACCAGTTGCTACAATCCGTTGCAAATTGTAAAGGTTCTGGGAAAATTGGACGGTGTAACAAGGCCTTAAGAGATTTAAGCGTAAAACTCATGTTGAAGTGCATCTCATTAAACATTATTTAGTTCTGAAGAGAGACAATATGAATTCAACATTCATGCTAGGAGCATTTCCTAAAAAACACGTGAAATTGAATTGAATATTTGCTGTTTTCGCATAAAGGTACTCCCTGGTAATAGAGATCGAAACACAGTGAAAGTGAACTTATTTAACCCTCCAATCATCGCACGCTTTGTTCGTATCTACCCATGGACTTGGCATGCACATATGTCGCTGAGGGCTGAGCTGTATGGCTTCAACCAACGTAAGTTTATGATCCACTTTAAGTGATAATCTATACAATAATTAAGGCATTATGAAGGACCCTATAGACCGATTTCAATAATTGCCGCCATTGAATTTCAAAAATAAAAGCCAATATTCAAAACAATAAACACCACCTTCAAAAAGGACATGCAGAAATGTGTAATTTTGGAAATTTTTGGTATTTTTATGACGTAGAATTCCAGCGAAGTTATTTGGATTGAAAATCAAAGAGATTTTTATGTATGCAGTCATTTCAAATAAGAAATGACTTTAGAGTACATTCTGGTATTAAAACGGTCATCATAAGCCTTTTCAACATTCCATGAATGTAGTAAAGGCAGTAAACTAGGGTTCCCTTTCAGATATTGATCCACGTCAACTAACGATCAACTCAGTAACGATCAACAACTATTAATTTTCATTTCAGGAGTCAACAGCATCCCTCTTGGTCTGGAAGATGGCAAGATCCCTAACTATGCCATCAGAGCCTCCTCACAGTGGGATGGTAACCATGCACCATATCTTGCTCGTCTTAACAACATTAGACGAGGAAGGAAGGTTGGTGGATGGTCTTCCAGAAGAAACCAACGAGGACAATGGATTCAGGTTGCTTTAGGATCATACACAACCATCACAGGCATTCGTACTCAAGGTCGTCAAGATGCCAACCAGTGGGTCAAAACATACACTGTAGCTTACAGCAACAATGGAAAGCGCTTTAAAACATACAGAGTTCGTAGACGTGTTAGGGTAAGATTTTTTCTATATATTACTAGTTCAGTTAATACACGATCACCTGCGTTGAACTAAGGCTTTTGAGGTATTAAACCATGTCGACGGTATAAGAGTTATCATAAAAGACGTCCAGTCAATGAACATCTTAAATACTATTGCCCTTTGCCCTTTGGCGGCTTATCAAGGAGTAAACAAATTGTCCCAAGGGTAAAGGAGCATAGATGAGTAAAAAGTATTACAGAAAGCGTATTTCGGTTTTTAAGGTGTGGTGTTTTTTTACAGGTCTTCTTGGGAAATAGTGACCGAAACACTGTCGTAACTCGTCGACTAAGACCAGCAATTCGAGCACGTTACATCAGAATCTATCCAAGAACGTGGCAGGGTCACATGTCCCTGAGAATGGATGTACTTGGAAAGCGAAGGCGTAAGTAGAAATATTAATTTAAAAAAGGGATATTCGTCGATTTGATCATGGGCAACGGTAGAAAAAAAAGAGGTTCTGAAATGCAAAGGCTCTGAATCGTTAATGAATGTTATGTAACGTTTAATTTAATTACAGAAGGAGCAATTAAGCCTCCAGTATCATTCCGTGCCCTTGGAATGCAGAGCGGACGCATCCGTAACAACCAGATTCGTGCATCCTCGAACTGGGACCGTAACCACGGTGCCTTCTTGGCCAGACTAAACAGACGTGCACGAGGAAGATATCAAGGTGGATGGTCAGCAAGACATAATAACCGTAACCAGTTTATACAGGTAAGATTGGTTTGCTTTGAGTGTGTTTTAAAGATAATGTATAGACATATAAACATTTCTATTTAAATTTTAGGTGAATTTCCGTCGACCTAAACGAATCACGGCAGTTGCCACACAAGGTCGCCAGAACGCCAACCAATGGGTTACCAGATACTACATATCCTATAGTTTGGATAAAATACATTATACGTCATTCATGTCTGGTGGTCGAAGAAAGGTAAGTAAACACAGTTCTTCTTAGTGTTTGACTTTTGGATCATTGCTGTGAAATCACAATATATACCTCGTGATCATGGACAATGGCAAACATAAAACTGGTATAGAATGTTTTCTTTTATTGCGACGTTTAATCAGAAAAACATACTTTTGTCAATTTTTAGTGCCGGTCCCAATTTTTGTAACAAAATAAATTAAATTAATCACTGGCATTTTTTTGTAGATATTCACTGCCAACCGTGATCGTAACACAGTTGTTCGTCGACGAATACGACCAGCCATCAGAGCTCTGAGTGTTCGCATTCACCCTGTCAGCTGGAAATCTCATATTTCCATGAGACTCGAACTGTACGGAAGGAACGCAGGTATGTTGATCAATGTAAAATAATCAAATAGAGGTTTTTCGTATGTCGTCATGGCAGCCATTTTTGATGGTAAAACAAAAGAATTTTTTTCATTTGGGGAATAAATTCTCATGTCATGCCAAGACATTGCACTGTTCCTGTCCACAAACATGGCTGTCATGGAAAACCTCTATTCATAAATATTCTCGCCTACAAAGTATATTGGTTCTGCAATGAAAATATTTGCAGTGTCATTGGATTTTTTCAACTTCTTTTCTTTATCTCCTGATTTTCATTTCATTAAAATGATTTAAGTAACCTAGTGCATACCTCTACCTTCATTTTAACCCCTTAGTTGGAATAGCACAAGCTTTTCAATTTGCGTCCCTCACGTCGTTTACGGACACTCTTTCAGTTAGTTTGAAAATTGGTCATTTTTACTAAACTGCAGCTGGTTACAAAACATTGAAAGTTCTTTGCTCTAGAGAGTAGAAATTTAAGAAATGCATCATGGCTGTAAAACTGGTATTTTTAGGTATACATCGTTTGCCTCTTGGTGTTGAAGACCGTCGTATTCCAGCACGCGCTTTCAGTGCCTCATCCATCTGGGACCCCAACCACAGAGCATCAAACGCAAGACTCAATTCTATTCGACGAGGACGTAGAACAGGAGCGTGGTCTGCTAGACACAATCGACGTGGACAGTGGCTTCAGGTTGATATCGGAAGTCTTGCCCGAGTTACCGGTATTGCTACTCAAGGACGACAAGACGCAAATCAATGGGTGAAAAGCTTCTACGTTACGTATAGTACAAATGGAAGACGATTTATACCCTACAGGCATGGAAGACGAACAGTGGTAAGTATTCTCATGCAGAAGTATTTGTTTAGATCTATGGATCGCGACACCAATACGAAGACAGAAGAAAATATAAAGCCCAACCAAACTAAGCATAGGTCCATCAAATATTTACATATAGTAAAAAAACGGAGGTCACTGATTCTTTTTCTTTTAATTATTAGCTTAATCTTTTTTTCCGTTTTTGTACTGGAAGGTTATTTTAAAATCTCAAAGCTAAACTGGACCATTTTCTTTAAAAAAATAATGCTTCCTAAAAACCATTATTTCTTAAAATTGTTCATTTTCCCTATCTTACTTTTTGTTGGGATAACAAAATTCAGCTTATCCTCGTGTGAACTTACTGCAATTTTCACAAAAATGCGAACTTTGTGTCTGCGAGCTGCACGCTGAAATTTGGTTTTTCGCTGCCGTCAATCAAAGCTAATCAGTCGATACCTTTCATATTTTTGACTGACGGCAGCGAAAAACCAAATTTCAGAGTGCAGCTCGCAGACACAGTAACTGATAAGTATTGCAGTAACTGATAAATATATTATAATGTATGTTTTTCGTGATTTCCCTTATTTGCAAAAGAGTTTGTTGCCCGAGAACTCTTTTATTCTATTCATTCTTACTGTATTTCTGTATTCCCATATTTACCTATATGTCTTTGCAAGTTATAGGCTTTTAACACAAGCTATGATTCATAAAAAATAAGTCTTTGATAAACTTTTTCTCTAGATATTCCGAGGAAATCGTAACAGGAATTCCATAGTATACAACCGATTTGTTCGTTCTCTGAGAGCACGTTTTGTACGTGTTTACCCAAGAAGCTGGCAGGGACACATTTCTATGAGGTTGGAACTGTATGGACGAAGATATGGTGAGTTTATTTGAGTTTCTAACGAATCATTCTTAAAAGATACTTATAAGTTTTAATAATGCAAGGTCGAGTGTGACTAAATTTAAAGAAATGCATTTTTATATTTTAAGTTCGTCGTCCTCATATATTCCCAAGTGGTATTTCCAATGGCCGTCTACCCAACAAATACATCACAGCATCCAGCCAATGGGACAGAAACCACGCCCCATGGCTCGCTCGTCTGAATCGCAAACGACGGGGACATCAAGTTGGAGGATGGTCTGCTCGTAAAAATAACAAGAGACAATGGATTCAGTTTAACTTGGGATCACCAAAGAAGATCTACAAGGTTGTAACTCAAGGAAGAAGCGACGCAAACCAATGGGTTAAAAGCTTTACCATCCGTTACAGTCAAGATGGAAGACGTTGGGTGTCCTACAAAAAGAACAGTCTTACCAAGGTACGATTTATTTTCATTTTCACAACTTTAAGAGGAACACATTTTTAACGTCTCACTATTTTTATTCACTAAACCAGATCTTTCCCGCAAACCGTGACCGAAACTCACTAAAGGAAAACCTCTTCAGGCCATCAATCACAGCTCAGTTTGTACGAATCTACCCAAGAACATGGCATTCACATATCTCCCTTAGGGCTGAGTTTTATGTGGGAAGAGCATGTGAGTAATAATACTGTTAGTCACAAATTTTGAATATATATTGCCACATCATGGACATTAATGCCGAAGTTAAGAAACATTAATAGGGTAGACATTGAACGTAGTGGAATGCGGATGCATTACAATAGTCATTACACATTACACAGCAGCTCGGCGGCGATCTAAACATAAAATAACATAAATACCGATCGAAGCTACGAAACATTCATGTGGAAAATTTTGAAGGTCAAGCAATACAGATGCAGTACAATAGCCTTTACACAGAAGCGCGGCGGCGACGAAATCAAATACTCAGACTGTATGCTCAAGACTGGGTTGCTTCCGTTTCAACAAAATTATCTGCTATCAAGAAAAGTTTTATTTTTGAGCTGAGAATTCAAGTCGATCCTATTCTGTATTTTCAGCTCTCAACGAGTTACCTTTGGGTATTGAGGATGGAAAGATTCCTTCTTTGGCAATAAGAGCTTCATCGCAATGGGACCGCAACCATGGTCCATCACGCGCTCGACTCAACACTGTTCGACGTGGAAGGAAGACAGGAGCATGGTCTGCTAGAAGGAATGATAGACGACAATGGATCCAAGTTGACTTTGGAAAACCAACCATCATCAGTAAGATTCTTACTCAAGGTCGTCAAGATGCGAACCAGTGGGTCAAGTCATACACTGTATCGTACAGCAACAATGGAAGAAACTTCAGAACGTACAGAGTCCGTCGCCGCGTCAGGGTAAGTTGAGGATGTAAATAATTGTAAAACAACACATGGTGATTCAGCTTGCAAGATTAAATAGCTTACAATTTACAGCAAAATTTATAGAGAATTTATTTACAAAATATTGATCTAAAAATTCCGTCATATTACGATGGTTTCAGGTGTTTTTGGGTAACTCAGGCAGAAACTCTATAGTGGTCCGTGGCTTGAGGCCTTACATAAGAGCTCGTTATATCAGACTCCATCCACGCACATGGCAATCACACATCTCTATGAGAATAGGATTCAGAGGAAGACGACCAGGTATGTAAAATAGAAAAGTGTGACATTGATTTAGCACAGATGACTAGGGAACAAACTAGTTCTAGCGCGGGTTCAGTGAATCGGTGTAGGAGGACTATATGAATTATTGATTATATAAGTAAATTATATAATTATTAATAATTATACAAGGTATATATTCAGCTTTTTTCTCATTGGCAAAATGCAAATGCTTTCTTCTCACTAAATTCTTAAATCTATGCAGCCTTTTTTAAATTTCAAAGCCATTTGTTCTTGTTGAAGCACGGGGTTTCTTCAAGAAAAGCGCAAAAGCCGCTTGACTTTCTTTTAAGTATATATGTACTATTTGCATTAAAACAAAAAGCGTATATCAGTCCACCACCCATCGGCTGGTAATTTTCTTGTATTGCCTGGATCAGCAACACAGTAAAAACATAAAAGCTGATCCATGTAGGCAATGGAGTGTATCTCTGATATCTGCTCTGATATTCTTCACTTTGTTACAGAGCAACTTTAAGAAAAGATAAATATTATTCTAATTTTGTTATCAGGAGGAATAGTTCGGCCACCACCTCACCGTAATTCCAGAGCTCTTGGAATGCAGAGCGGTCGTATCCGTAACAACCAAATCCGTGCATCTTCAAGCTGGGACCGTAACCACGGTGCCTTCTTGGCCAGACTAAACAGACGTGCAAGAGGAAGATACCAAGGTGGTTGGTCAGCAAGACATAACAACCGTAACCAGTTTATACAGGTAAGACTATTTATTGTTCTATTAGCTAATCCGAGGTTGAGGGAAAAACTGGGTCGAGTTCCCACTCTAATGCATTGTGGGGCTATTTTAGTGGACGAAAAAAAAACAGCCCAAAATGCAGTACAATGCCAACTTGACTTATTTTTTCCTTGAACCGAATAACAAATTAAGATATTGCATTTGGACTTCAACGTGAAGAATTTCTTGAGATGCATAAACTATTTCAATACTGTGATTAACAATTATTGAATTGCGGCTATATGAAAATTGCACGGTCTGCCTGTGCATGTAGTTTTGACGTTACCATACTCCAGCATTTTTATTAGTAGGGCAATGATTATTTAGCTTGAGCTCTTGATTCTAAGGATTTTGTGATTTCAGTACCGTTACCGTGTCGACTGGTATTTGACATTCAGTCAAAATATTTTCATGATAGATTTTTTTGATATTCAGTATTTCATTGACTTAAATTGATTACTGAATCATTCTTAACCTACCTTACCTTTACGCATTTTCATAGGTAACGTTCAGAAGTCCAAAGAAGATCGTTTCTATAGCAACACAGGGTCGCCAGAATGCTGACCAGTGGGTAAAAAAATACTACATTACATACAGTATGGATGGTGTGCACTTTGTTCGATATTCAAGAGCACCGCGCACCGTTGTAAGTAGCTATTTTATTTATTATTCTATATTTAGTATTAAATCCAGTCTAGTTATTTGTTCATGCAGGCGTTTTATAGGAGAATAATCAATCAATCTTATTCTGCTTAAGCAATCAATACTCCAGTTTCGAGTTCTCTGCTGCTTTTATGTAGAATATTCAGGTGTTCTATTGAAGGTCCGTGAAATTCCAAAAAAAAATTTTTTTTTTTTTTTTTTTTTGCTGAATTTGTGCATTCGTCACTTTACCGTTGGTATTTGCGAATATTTTGATACTGATTCGATTCTGATCCTGAGTAAACGAATCTGTAAGCAAGGAAAACAGCGGTAATTTGAAACTCAAAAATGGTCTTTTTGCGAGCTGCATGCTGAAGTTTGTTTTTTCGCTGCAGTCAGAAATAATCAATCGGTACCTACTAAATTTTTGAATGATGGCTGTGAAAAACCCATTTCACACCAAGCAATTATAAAATGTCTGAGGTGGCAGAATATTAGAAATCGCAACAAGTCTTAAATATATCAATTATATAGATTTAAAGAATTCAAGAATAAGGCCTTTCTCAAAAAATGCGTATATTTCATTTTAATTATACAGGTGTTCAATGCCAACCGCAATCGCAACTCCGTCAAGCGTAACCGATTTAGTCCTGCCATATATGCAATAGCTGTTCGTCTTCATCCAGTTAGCTGGCATCGCCACATTTCATTGAGAATGGAGTTGTATGGAAGAAATGCAAGTACGTAGAGTTTACTGGTGTAACCATTCTTAGCATATATCTACTGATGAAAATAGGTTTCATAAAATCATTTATCCATCCAAAACTTATGATTTCATGTTTTTTGTTTTCTTTCTAAACTCAAAAGATCCAAGATACTTACCTCTTGGAGTTCAAGATGGCCGTATTCCTGACTCCGCTATCACTGCCTCGTCCATGTGGGACCGCAAACACAGACCAGCAAATTCCAGGCTCAACTTATATCGACGAGGACAAGCAGGAGCATGGTGTTCTAGACACAACCGACGTGGACAGTGGCTTCAAGTTGATATTGGAAGTCTTGCCCGAGTAACCGGTATTGCTACCCAAGGACGGCAAGACTATAATCAGTGGGTGACAAGTTACTATTTGGTATATAGTAGGGATGGATCGAGGTTTACAACATACAGAGTTGGCAAAAGAAGAGCGGTAAGTAGTCGCGGAAAACGTCAGACGCAGTTTTGTATGGTTTTCTTTTCTTTCTGTTTAAGATTTTCAGCTCATAACATTTCCATTATTTTATTTGCATGCGCAAATGCTTGTCGAACTAGTTTGCTAACTAATTTTTTTTGGATTTGAAATGCTGATTTTTATGCTAATCATTTTTAAAGGTCTTACGAGGCAACAGAAACAGGAACTCCATAGTCTATAACAAGCTCCGAAGACCATTCACGGCTCGTTACGTTCGCATCTTCCCACAATCCTGGCATGGCCACATGTCTATGAGAGTCGAGTTGTATGGTCGCAGATATGGTAAGTATTGCTTAAATTGTTCCACAATGTAACCTTAAATGTGCAATCAATAAGGCAATTATTCTTATTTTTTTAGGTCCTTTACCTAAACCAGTCCCGTTTTTCATATGTGTTTCATATTCATGCATGACATCTAACACCCTTTATGAAGCAACCGTTAATGAGTAGGATTTTGTTTTACATTCAACAAATCCCAAATGATATTGTTCTCAATGTCCAGTTCACATCTCGATCCCTTAATTCCTTCTGAGTCCCATAAGAATTTCATTCATTTCATAAGTCGTTTACAACATTCGCGTTCGTGTTGTATCAGATCTACAATCTTTCGCCTTCGGCTCCTGATCGTAAATCTGATACAACACGTCCGCTTATGTTGTAAAAATTACAAAAATGTTACATACCTTTTTCTTTATATATGCATTCGCTAATTATTTCACTGCCGTTACATAAAGTATTTTTTGCTCTAAAGCTCCAAATCCCCTAGAGAAATAACTTGTTTTTCGTTCTCTGTAATTTTAAGTATCAAATAAACTCATAACTATGCCATTTTTTGCAGGTAAACCTCGTCTACCTCGTCCTTGTGGTATTTCCAATGGCCGTCTGCCCAACAAATACATCACAGCATCCAGCCAATGGGACAAAAACCACGCCCCATGGCTTGCTCGTCTGCATCGTAAACGACGTGGACGTCAAGTTGGAGGATGGTCAGCTCGTAGAAATAACAAGAGACAATGGATTCAGTTTAACTTGGGATCACCAAAGAAGATCTACAAGGTCGTAACTCAAGGAAGAAGCGATGCGAACCAATGGGTGACAAGCTTTGTTGTCTTATACAGTCAAGATGGAAGGCGATGGACAACTTACACATCAAAAGGAAGAACAAAGGTAAATATTTGTTCGTTTGTTTTTGTCTTTTTTCTTTTCGGCTGTTTTTTCGCGGCTTACCATTAGTTTTCTTTCTCTCGCTTCACCGAATTTTTTTCATCTGTATTAATTAAATTTCTCATCTCAGGTCTTCCGAGGCAACAGAGATCGCAACACCCTGAAAGAAAATGTTTTCAATCCTCCGATTACAGCTACTTATGTAAAAATCAACCCAAGGACATGGCGCGGTCACATTTCACTAAGAGCAGAATTTTATGCTACCAAAGCATGTAAGTGGAATTTTTCTTGCTTTTTCTCGGCCGATTCAAATACTTGATATACTAGATTTACCACCAAAACAGACATGCAACTAGTACACGCGGAATGTAAACATGCTTTTTTAAGTGTGATAACAAGATCAGAAGTACTTCGCATGCCCCCGATAAGATGACTGTCTATTTAAGGTAGCAATTTTTTTATATTTCGGCCTCATTTTGCTTAGTTACGCCGTATCAGTCAGTGCTTGAAGGATTTTTGACCCACACACCTCCCCTTCGGCGACGTTCTCCCCGGTAAATCAGTTCTGTATCTGCATTGACTGTATAGCGGCTGCCTGAAGCGCCTTCAATTGCCGAGTTTCAGATCGACCCCATTGAGCTGCGACACTGCTGTACTTTTCCGTGGTAATTAGCTATGGCAGTTTCAAGTTTTTTTAATCCCGCGGCTTAGTCATTTCCTCCGCAAAACGACCGCGTTTAGTAAGTGAAGGGCTGTGTTGGCGGTGATAATAGTTTACTATGTAAAGTTTCCGGAAATTTTATTCATGTATGCCACTTCTTACTTACAGCTTCAAACCAAGTTCCAATTGGTGTCGAGGATGGCAAGATTCCTAACTCTGCCTTCAGTGCATCATCTCGATGGGATCGTTACCATGGACCTCATCTTGCCCGACTTAACAACGTAAGACGAGGACGAAATGTTGGTGGATGGTCTGCCAGGAAAAACAACAGACGACAATGGATTCAAGTTGACATCGGAAGGAGGACGATCATCAGTAAGATTCTTACTCAGGGTCGTCAAGATGCGAACCAGTGGGTCAAGTCATACACTGTGGCTTACAGCAACAATGGAAGGCGCTTCACGACATACAGAGCCCGCGGACGTGTCAGGGTAAGTGCATAAAGCTCAAAAAATCGATTGTAGGAATTGCCCGATGTATTTGTGAATTAAATGGTTAGAGAAAAAACTTTTTTTTTAATTTTTATTTTAGGTATTCCTTGGAAATAGTGATAGAAACACCATCGTTGTTCGTAGACTGCGCCCCGTTATCCGAGCTCGTTTCGTGAGGATCATTCCAAGAACATGGCACGCGCATATCTCACTCAGATTTGGATTAAGGGGAAGACGACCAAGTAAGTCTTTTCAATTCCTATATCACTGAAATCCATTTCAGTCAGTCACGTATGTTAATGCGCTTTGCTTAATTAACTGACCAAAATAAGAAATAACGATAAAATTCTAATTTACTGACAAAATATCATCTGTCGCAGATTAGTGCTTAAGTTTCCGGTTATTTGTGTGGACGATTTGTTAGTAATTCAGGCATGGCGTATACATATAAATTCCTTAATTATTACTTTATTATAGCTGGCAAACCAATAGTCAGACCTCCAGGAAGACCCATAGTAAGACCCACAAGAAGACCAACAAGGCGACCAGGTAAGTTACATGAACAACGCCACAATCAAAACAGATAGTTGTGTATGGTTTAAGTTTAAATTTTAATTGATTTTGAATTATAATTTCAACAGTTTACTCCAAGCTCCGTCACTGTCCAGTTACTCTGGATCTTGGTTTCCTTATCGATGGATCAAGCACCGTTGGACGACGAAACTTCCACTTGGTGAAACTCTTCCTCAGGAAAATCGCAAGCACTTTTACCATCACAAAACACCAAACACACGTTGGTCTTGTAACCTACTCCAACAGAGCTGATGTAGCTATGAGGTAAAGAGATATATCTTAAGAGAAGCATTTGTATCTTAACTGAAATATTAACCAATGAAAATTGTTTTTTTCTTATTTTCTTTGGGATAGAAATTATTATTGAGACCAATTTTTTTCATTTTTCACATTTTTAATTTTTCACCTATGCCCTGAAGATAGTGGGTTTTTTTTGGACCGTGAAGCAGAGTTTTATTATTTAGTGGCTAAAGACTAAGGTCAAACGTCGAACTTTACATGAGCCTATCAAACCTAATTACATTAAAGAAGACCACGCTTCGGGTTCGGCTATGTGAAATACGACGTTTGACCTGAGCCTAAAGGTACGGAAAAACGGTGCAACATTGCATGCACCACTGCACGCAACAGGATTGTTGCTGCGTGTGTCTACCCCTGAAACTTGTTGCATGCAACGTTGCGTGCAACTAGTCTGAAGTTGAATTGCGCTCTAACATTGCGAGCAACAAATKTCTTCATGTGAACATGACTGCAACAATGCGTGCAACATTTTGAAATTTCCAGCCAATCAGCTTACATCAAATTTATAACTGCTGTCCAAATATCTTAGCATAGCAGGCTGACACAAGCGATGTTGTGCGATTTTCTTGCAATGTGTGTCACCCTGATTCATTCAAGTTTGTAGCTTGCAATGTTGTGTGCAATGTTGACAACGGAGTTTGAGTCAACAACTATTTATTACGTTGACTATTCTTTCACGGTTGAAGTTAAATCACTCTAACCACGCATGTTGAAAGCTTGACAAAAATCATTATGTAATTAAATTCCCCTTCTTAAAATTGTTCTGAATGCGAGACTAACAGCAAATACAAAAGAAATTACACTTTTTCTTGATGGATTTTTGGCACTTCTTTTGTATTTTCATTTTGACATTGACTGACAATTTTTTTTTTTTTTTTTTTTTTTTTTTTT